AAAAAGGTTATGATCTGCGTTTGGTGGGACTGGGTAGGCATGGTGCATTGGGAAACTGCTCAAACGAAGCGCCACTGCCAACAAGGAGGTCTACATTACCCAGCTAAACAGTGTAAAAGAGGCTATTCGGCTGAAAAGACCTTATAGAGGTGGTCAAGTCATCTTGCTCCACGACAACACCATGCCCCATATTGCTCAAGTCGTCAAAACAGCACTCCAAGAGCTTGAATGGGAGGTTCTTCAGCATCCACCGCACTCTCCGGATCTTGCACCTGCCGACTATCTCCTTTTCCGCTCTATGTTAAACCCAATGAGGGGTGTTACCTTTGATGGAGAAGGGGACCTTAAAAACTGGCTCAACAAATTCTTCGACACCACAACGGCCGATTTTCGGCGAATCGCCATCAACAAATTGGTCGAGAGATGGGAGGAGGTCGTGAACAGTAACGGAGGATACACCATTGGTTAATTTATTATTATAATTATTGTTTTTTGGTTCAAATAAATCTTTGTCAAAAAACTCTACGAACTTATGTTACAACCAAATATATCTGTGCATATGTGTATGTGTTCGTATGTGTGATCTATTGAAAGCTTTCGAATTATTATGCCTTTGGGATCAAGAAGAGGACTTTGGCGTTTCGACTCGTGTTGCGGGACGTGATAACCCTTATTTTGAGACCGGAGGCAACAAATATTATCGACCAGTTGGGCTATGCACGCTAACGCGTACATTATATGTATGTCCACGACAGCTCATCTACGATGGAGTCATTCAGCGCAGTGTTGGATTATCAGTATAAGAAAGTTATCTCTTGTTCAGAACGCTGAACAGCTTTGGGAGCATCCCACTCGATATTTTTCTTTTAGGCAGAATTATTAGTAGTTGAACATGACGACGTCCACCTCAGTGCAAAACCCACTATGAAAATTCGACTACCCCCCCCCCTTTTTGCTGCTGCTAACCATTTTCTCCGCGTCCTAGAACATTTTCAATCATAACTCTGAATTTTTGATCTCAATCCCACTCACCTTAGTGCGCCACGGTTTAGCCGCAATCCCTCCATCCATTACCTCCAACCACGCTTTTACCGCATTCCAGAACGTTTTTGAACGGAGCCATGAATCTCGATCCTAGCCCCGCCCACCTTAGCGCAAGCCCCGCCCATTTAGATTTGACAACATCTCTTTTATAGCCTCTTACCTCTTACTTTCCACATTATAGAACGTTCACGAACAGAGCTATGAGATTTTTCGAAAAGGACCTAACATTGAATGCACGCCCGCCCACTGTGGTCTGAGCTTCGACATTTTTACGTATGCCCGGCACGCATGAAGCCTTACATACTTCGTTTGTTTTTTCTGACCCTCACGCTCCCACTGAATCGAGTTATGATCTTATGTGGTAGGCACCGCCCACTGCGAGAACGCCCCGCCTACCGCCGGTGAGTCTCCTTCAATAACTTGTTGACCCATCCCACACCTTTGTCCATTTTTTCCCGGCGTCTGAGCTGTTTTAAAACTTAGTTCAGACAGTTTGCTCAAAACACCGCCCACGGTCGTGCATGCTCCGCCCCCTGTAGGCAGAGCTCCGCTGAGCTCACATGTGCTCTATTGGTCTTGTCCTATGCCCAAGCCACCACAAACTTGACCCGACTTCTGCAGATGCTTCTTCAGGTAATATCGAACTTCCGTAGAAACAAGCAGACAGAGGGAGAGAGACTGACGCGAGTGCTTCTTATATAGTAAGGGTAATTGACATCTGGATATTTAGTCAAACGACTTTTATCCTGAAGATAGGAGTTCCACGGGCCAATGTTACCTGGTCGTTGCGAATGTTGTTATCGTCTGACGACCACATTGGTATGACAAGACGGATTTAGTCGTCCGTGAATATGTTACACAGCAACCCGAACACACACTCAAGCGCCTCCAAACACCCGTCACATATACGACGCAGCATAAAGATACCCTGGGTGAAGACTATGGGGGCACTATATGCCTTTCACGGAACGGCTTACCACGCAAGTTGCTTCAGTTTTAGTAGTACCGCTGGGCCGTAATCTCAAGCAAGAAAATTTTGATTTTATGTGAGCGCTGCTGTCCACGAAGGTCAAAGCAACTGAGAACGAGTTAATAATCATTTCTAAAAACGTAAATAAAAAGCGAGATTCCCGTTATGCATCTAAAAGTATGCACAAAGTAATCATCATAAAGCAATCACTCTGTCGGCATAAATTCACGTGGTTTTAGTTTATGTATTTGTGCAAGTCATCTCAACTCATCAGTCATCTTCTTTTTTTTTATTTGTTTTGCAATGAACGCACATGTAATCTCAATGAGGACGGTTATTGCGATGGTTCGGTGATTGCCTGTTGCAAATAAAATAAATTCAGGCTCAGCGAGATTCAATTTAACCTGCGAGTAAAAGAGAAGGATACTTCCACAGAAGTAGTTACATATGTGCGAATTCAGAATGGAAGAGAAAAATGACAGCTAAAAATAGGGTACAGTGGTGCAGTGACCAGTGCGCACTGATAATGCCTGGCCTCTGATATCCTTAACGGGCTCTATTCTGCAATTGCGTCCCCGAAAAAGGGCCGTTGTCAACCGCCCGTGTGGTCTCATAGTGTTTTTAATGTTTCCAATATGTCTTCATTAACAAGCAAGTCAGTTCGAGAGGAATATAGCGCAGGTGGAAGAGCTTGCCATTCATCATTGTCTACTACTATTAGTAATACAATAAAATACACAGCAAATACTGCAACCTGTAAGATTCTGATTGATTCACTGTTGCTGCAGATCATTAAACGATGTCATTGATCTCAAAGTAACAAACATAGTACATAAAGAAGAAGTAACAATAGCGAAAAAGCTGGGATTTCCTGCAATACAACATAGACACTTTGTCAATGCAAGGATTCCATGCAGTTGCTTGTTCACAGGAGCGAAGATCAAACCTTCACTAAACTGGAAGTACGCAAATTAACCAGCCACTAGCACTCCTCGGCGAACTACATATCACAAATATCACTCATTTCCGACTCCTCTCTGTCCGGTTACCAATTCGATTAGTCCTTCTTTCTAATCCATCCTCTACTCGCATACATGAATGCTCAATCTTGACGAATGCTTCTAGAAAGTACGAATAACGAACAGACATGCCCTCCTTCGGTGGTCAATATGACACGTAGAGACCGCTTCTCTGAGCAAGAAAAATCCAGGTGCACTGAGATTCGAGAAGAAACACTCGTATTCAACGGCACAAGATGATTTCGAAGTCCCATGAATGTGTGATACAGTAATCCCCGCAGTGCTTCACTACCCTGGTCTTGTTGCCCAAGGCACCTTTCTGTTGCGTCGTCTATGTGACGAATGTTTGGGGCGCTTTAGTGTGCCTTTGGGTTGCTGTGTCTCACATCAACGGGACCTCAAAACCTGTCGTGTTTCAACAGCTCCGGAGTAAAAAGGGATAAATCGGCGTGGATCTTTTACTAGGTGACCTGGGTCTTAACAAGACTGTTATGAATGAAACAATTATCTCAAACCCTCTTGATTTGTTTCATGAAAAAAAAAACTCTTTAGGGAACCGAAATCCTTCACCGATCACATTTATTTCTAACAAGTAGAGATCTGCCATCGTGTACCAAAAGCACATCTGAAGCTTACCCCAACACTTGTGTTACATACACGACGCCCTCATCCTACTCAGCACATATACTCTCCTTCAAAAACACGCAAANAAACAAGAACATGCAAGTGGGCTGATGCTGCAGTTCCGGTGTGGCACCGTGGGTTGATATAAAGGAGAACACATTCAACATAAAAATATACCTTAGAGATGACAGTCGAGATAACAAAAAGTGAGAAACAACAATGATTGAACAATGAAATGATACCAAATAAACAATTTGCAAAAAAAATCGGCTCAGAGTATCTTTGTTACCAATAAATATTTGGATGTTTGCACGCAGGTACAAAAAAACGTTTTACGGAATAGTCAATCGTTAACACAGAGGATATTCCTTGAGAAACATTACATCAAACAAAAAACCCGGCAAGCTCACATAGGTAATCGTTCGTGATACTTGAGGGTACATGACAGTGTTCAACTATCGCCCGTATTCTTTACTATTGAAATCATCAACAGAATAAAATGAAGCGGCAACTGATCGACCTCCGAAAAACCGACCATTCATTACCACGAAAGCTTTGATAGCTTGCGCAATATTCGTGAACTCAACGAAAATTCGAACGGCGTTGTCATCACTTACACCCTCCATCTAAAAAGAATAATGCAGATTAACCGAAAGGTTCCCTAGACATACAAACTGGTTGAAAAGAAAAGAAAAAGAAACCTTATGGATAACCACGGACGCCACCTGACCATACTTGGCCATCTCTTCGCGAATTTCCGGCTCAAGCTCGTCGTCCACTTCGTCTGGGCCAACCATATTCTGAAAAGCACCATTTCAGCGAATCTTCTGGAGCCGTCACAATAATGCAGGATTTGTAAACACATATGGAAGAATTGGAAATCGAATGGGCAAACTTAAAAACTTACAGTCAGCATTAACACTTTTGTGGAGCTTTTCATTGCCTGAGTCATGTTGATAGGTGCTACACCCATTGGAGCACACGGTTGAGACGGTTGAGATGCAGTATTTCCTGCAGCGATGACGTAATGCCAAGAAAAAAAGATAGGGAATAGATATACAGTACCTTGGCTCTCGTTGATGATGAGTCCTGCATTCTTCCCAAGTTTTTCAACAGAAAGAGCAGTGCTCATCCCCTGCTCATCACGGCCTGCAAGACTTATTGAAGATTACCTTCACGAGCAACGCATCAAGACCCAAACTCGACATGAGAGTTCGACTCACCAAGTCCAGCACCATGTTTATAGCCAAACTTGCTCATTATGTTGGCGGCGACACCAAGTCCTTTGGAAGTCGCCTTACCAAATGAAGGCAAGAATGCTGGAGGTGGCATAGGATTGGACGGATTAGACGGAGAACTCGATTCCTAAAAATTTTATCTGAAAAATACTGAAGCCATTGAATGAAGCACGCACTTTCGGAGGGGAAGGCGGCTCCAGGAGCGCTTGCGGCGGAGCGATGGCAGCTCCTTTCTGCCTTTTTCTTGCTTCTTCCCTGTGATCGCGGCTCAGCCTACAATTTAAAAACAAAAATGTAGTTGCTATCAGAAGTCATCTGAAGAGAGGACGTTTTAACATACCAAAAAAGTGGGGCTTAAAGAATAAGACACTTTTAGTGGTGTTTAATTGGAAATGACAGCGGCAGAGAAACTTGTTAGGGCGAAGTGACATAATGAAAACATCAGAAAATTAACAAACATGATCGAGCATTGGAACGGTTTACACCGGTGGCACGACCATCGTCCCAAAAGCGACCTTCTTTCTGCGACGCTTTAGGTTAAAGATTGTATTATACTTGCAAATGACCAGCGACCCGAAGTGCCTCTAACTTATCCATCGCGCTTATCATGCTAAACAATTTCTTTGTTTCTGAAGGTACTGATATTACTTCAGGATAAGAATTAGGGCAGCGTGATAATATCAAGGAATCCCAATAAATATTTTTTGTGGATCAGATGTGAGTAAGACAGAGTACGAATAACACTCTATGATGACGAAACACACCTCTCCGCCACCTCCCTAGCATGTCGTTCGCGGGCCTCTCTTTCCTCCACTTTCCGTTTGCATGTGACGTACTCGTTGGGAACCGCAGGCTGATACTCATTCTTCACAACGTACTCTCCAAATAGGTTAACCTATAAAAATGAGCTTCTCGCATACTTCGACAAAACTGAGTGGATTCGATTTAGTTCTGACTCACACTGTCATCGACTGCTCCTTTAGGGAGGAATGACGGAGGAGCGCAGTCTGTTATCGGCAGAGCACGAACGGGCTGGATTCGGCGCATATTGATGGGAGTTCTGTTGCGTGCAGATAAGTCCACAACTGGTGCTACACTCGTTCTTTGCTACAGTTGCAGAATTAGTCCAGAAATAGTCATTAGTTTCGGTTAACTTATTACCATGCCTTGCTGTATTTGTACCCTCTTCTGCGCTATCTGAGCTTGCAGAAACTTCATTGTTATATCAGCGGAACCTGAAAGAACTTGAGCTTGATCGAAAGCAGCTGAATAATTGTTCAACTTAAGTTTTGTATGGAACATAGATTATTTCGAAAGCAAATCCGTCTGGGCACAAAGTGTCCACCTGTAGGAGACCGTGAAATGTTGCAGAATACCTTGACTGTTCCTTACACGCCACAATCGAGATACTAACCCTACTTCTCTGGCTTGATGCTTTGTTAACAGCTGCTATTTCTCAGCAGAGCCCAAAGATTCAGAGGATTGACGAGTTATGGACAAAACTTCGGCCTCGGATGGGACTCGAACTAGTACTTCTACTTCATGCTGGAGCAAGTAAAGCAAAGAACAACAGAAGATTCTTTGTCGAATTAGTAGGGATGATTCTTTCCATGAGCGATCTTTTCCCAATTCGTTTGTCCAAATGGCCACGACGCCTTGCCAATGTTAGCACTTTATTAAGAAAATTTAAAAAAATCACTATGTTACAAACTCGAGTCATCACAGGCAACCACCTTTTACCAGATAACCAAATCTGGTTTACAATCTATTGACCAGCAACTCACCTTTTCCGTGAGGAGGCGAGTCATCATCGTCGTATAGCGGCATATCTAAAGTATTATAAAGTAGTTGTACGTATTGGCAGCGGTGTCTTCCTCACAATCTTCGTCCAAAAACAGACCTGTCCTGGATTTGGCGTGATTAAAACGACGGAAACGAAAATCCACTCCGAAACACAGGCAATCCAATTATGAAATGTTACCGTAAAATAAAATGTAATGTACGCGGATCCGTCTCAGACTGCACGTTTCATTATACGACACAAGATGTTTTCAATTGGGAACTGTTTTATACCCCCGTATACTCTGGCATAGAAGAACTTGCATGTGTAATGCGTCAATACATGGGAGTTATCTAGAGGAGCAATTACAAGTAAATTTCGAGGCAGGTGTAGTAATTCTATGCATGTGAGTATACAGGCTATGAATAGTTCTGGTTCGGATACATGTACCACATTGTATAAGGATGAGGTATGAGAATATTATCAAGAATCAAAACTTGAAAAAATATCAGTTTAGTCTATACATATTGCGATGGCAAGTGTGCAGAGATTATCGTAGTATCAGAGAGATAATTAACCAGTAAATAGGCAATACATCATGAAGTAAATGATGAAGTCACGGGTAAAATTTTGGGCGCGATATAGTTTTGAAACCCTAGAAACCCTCCCAGGGTACTCCAATGCCCAGCCTGAATAACATCCATTGGTGAGCTCCCATACTGAGCGCTTCCGTGACTCGCTCTGAAAGAATGCGATGTTATATTGGACCACTGGAGATTAGCCTTGCTTAAAATATGCCTAAGCTTGTCCGTTAGGGTTGTAACTGCTAATGGAAGCCCCGTGGACACTGACTGGAAATTAAGTGTCGCATTCCCCAGGGTAGACAGATACTTAATCCATAATGTGCGCTCTTGTGCATTAAAGTGTACAGCGACGACTGCCCCCTTGGCATGCTGCTCTGTCTTGAATTTGGGGATGCTAACGTGCCATACATCGTTCTCAGTGTTTTCGAGATGTGATATGCGCAGGCTTGAGCCTCACTGATTCTGAGTAGCGCCTTAAACTGAGTCAAGGCTAGTGCCGCTGCTTGTATGACCTTTGGGTCGCTATCTATGCTCCCCACTTTGATGATCTTTCCCATCTGCTCTGGCCGAATTTTGGTACAATGCTGAGGGGCTGGTACCGATCGCTTAACTGCTTCCAGAAGGGAGTTATGAATCTCTTTATCCACTCCTTGCAGCGGCCCACAGAAGTAGCTAAGAGCTGCTATAACGATTGCCATCGATTTATATCTAGCTTCTGCAAAACACTTGGCTAAGTAAATATTCCTAACTTGTGGAGCAGGAATATTACGCATGTATGGGCCATTCCTCCACTTTCGGAATTTTTCCATTTCCGACATGTATGTTCTGATAGTAGATGGTGCTCTGTCCGAACTTATTGTATCTACAATGACGTTGATGGTGCGTAGAAGTCCCAACTGCTCCGCTTTGACCCCCAAGGCTGCAGCTTCCTTAAATTGTGGAGCTGCAGGATAATATCATAAGCCATTTACTTGGGT